TGATCTGTTTGTAGATAGTACCGGTTTTGCTCATGTACTGCTGTTTAGGTTTTTGGCTTGAAACTGAAATCCAGGACTAAAGTCTGTGATGGTAACCTGGTATGCAAACATGTTCTCAAGCCTAAACTTGAGCAACAGAGACTTGTTGATGCATATGGCATGTGACTACAAGAAACATGACCACAATGAATCATTTGACTCAGCAAACTCAGTCCTGAACTAAGACCCAGCTACTAAAGACAGTAAAATCTTGTTCTTCATGACCTTCTCTAGACCCTGACAAGTCAGTCTTGCAGTTTCTGCCCATAATTTTATGTCTTTGGAAAACACTGATTAAGTCCAAGCTGAATGTGTTTTTTTATATTCTTAGAAAATTGATGTTAGGAGCAATAATGCCAGTGAACTAACAGTATGAAGCAGTGTGTTTATTGGGGTTGTCTCAGACCTCCTTGGTAAAGTCAACTGGAAGGGCCACAGAGACAACAAACTTTTACAATTTTCAGTTTCATGGAATAAGCTGAAATGTAATATAGATTTAAGAGGAAAAACACAAACCACATACTGTGTTAAAACAAATGTGAAAATTTTATCATGAGGATGTGCTCTTAAATGCATATGGGCTAGTGGAGTGCCTGTCTGCGGTTTTTGCTTAAAAATGATCTAATGTTACTAGATTGTCATTATAAGACACTTAACCCCCAGAGTGAGAAACAGGAAGAATATTTGCAAGTTTCAGTGCTATTTACTAATTGCCAATTGACTTGAAGAAAGCTAAAAAATGACTGAAAACATCCATCCCTGTCCTGATACACACACATACTAATGGAAATGGCAGCCAAGACAAACAGCTAGCAGTGCGGTGCATCCTGTTGGCATTGTATTTTTGGCACTGTTGTAGCTACACAAAAAACAAGTGATACAAGAAATGTGTAAGGACATCTGTTCTGTAACCTATGGGGCTTCACTCACAAAACAGTTGTAAAATCTTCTGGGGGAGAGAAGAATTTCTCTGTATCTGTGCAGATGCTCTATTGTAAGAAAAATATCAATGGAAGGAAGTGTTGAGCCTTTAAAAGAGGAAATTGTTCACCAGATTTGCTGTCAAATGTTCCATTTTTTTCCTTCCTTTTCATTTAACCTAAGTTATCTGCCATTCATAAGTTATATTTAAGACAAGCAGTGTAAATCTATTGGGACTAATAGAATTGAATCATGGGTTAAATTAGCTTGGTGTCTGCTTGTAACTCTTCTTCACTGCAGATTACTTGAGCTCTGTGTTGCTCTGCTGACTATTCAGGTCACAGCCTCTAAGCTACCAGCTTCCTTCCTGAATCCAGCATCTTCATGTCTGTCTAGGGGCATGATGGGGAGAGAAGAAACATTAAAGACATCTATTAAGATCCAAAGTATTGTTTACTCACCTGCTTCTCTTAGCTTGCTGATCCTTCCAAATATAAGCAGGCTATGGGAGAAAGAAAAGGGGGAATTCTTAGTACACTGCAAGGCTCTCTCTACCATTCCTCTACTCCCCTTCAGCCACATCCCATGAATGGACCTTTTAAAAAGGAAATAAACTTACTCAAAACTCAAATCTTGTTGCAAATGTTGGGGTATAAGTAATTAGGCTTCCCCCACAGGTGAGTTATGGAGCGTTAGACATGGTTCCATGAAAAAGAAATTAGACCTCCTATTAGCCTGGATGGAACACATTAGGAAAAACTGGAAATTGGAGAGGGACTGTGAGGTGTAGGAGGCTGGGAGAACCTGGGGAAGAAAAGCCTAGCCCTGAGATCTGCTGGAGTATTGGGTGGGAGAGCATTTAGGAGGTGGAAAAATGCAGACTTCAACAGCACCCACAAAAACACCCTGACACCTGTAGCTGGAAGATCAAGGATACGGGCACAGGACTGCTTCCCTGCCAATTTCTCCCTCTGATGTTTGGTTTCACAAATGCAATAGGTCTGAGATTTTATCTTTTATGTCATATTTCAGTTTGGGAAAGGCATGGCTTGAAGACAGATGAGACAGCGAAATGAGACTGCACCACGTTATAAGCATTAGGATTTGGAAGTTGCGTTGGTGTTAAACATGTTTATTATTGAACACCTTGAATCATATTTTCATTTTATGTGTTTTCTCTAATTGTTCCATATTTACTTTATTGACACCCATATGCTTCTGTGTTCCCATTGACACGCAATGATCTATGCTTATAGGCAAAGTGTTCATTATTTTATATTGTGGTACTTCTTCCCTTGCTATTAGAATAGGAGAAGGGCTCTCTTCATCTGATTCTATTAAGCTGGTGGCTAATATTCATCCAGGAAGTTCCAAATCAGTTTTCCTGGAAAACAACCCTGAAAGCAGCTCTGCAATTCTGTGATTTATGTGGGATGCCTCGCAAATAGTCAGTTCTCTGAGTAAAACAGTAGTAAGTAACAGCTACTCAAAAATTCTAGAATTTGGATGTTTGCGTTGGTCTAATTAATCTCTTGATGATTTTGGGATTTCAGTTACCCCTAATTGAGACCAGACTGGTCTGCAGATCATATGATCAATCTGTGATTTAATCTTGAATGAAACTTTACTTGGCTCTACTTACAAACTGTGATCAGGGCCTTTTTGTCTAAGTCACTGTACAAACAAATAACTGAACACAAAGTTCTTCCACAATAAGTTTGCTATTCACACATCAGACCAGGAAGCTAAGAGTGGGTATGAAAAAGTAAACAAGATGGGTTGAGAAACATATGAGGTAGCAGGTTAACTGTGTGGGAGGAGCGGATGTCTCAGCTTCCTTCTCTCCTTGCAGTGCTACCTGGTAATGGGCTTTGGTTTACCATACATAAGAAGGAAGGAGATTCTGATAGTTTTGCTAATGTGCATCAGGAAAAAAATGGATGTGAGAAGACAGGAGATTCTTGGGTGCCAGTCCCTACCCATTGGATTCTTTCTCTCTCTTCTCATGCTAACCCATGACAAGTTAAAGTACAAGGAAGCATAAGAGCCCAAATCACTCCCCTTCCTCACATGAGTCGTGCTTGCATTGTGATGAAAAGGACCTCAGGGAGAGGAGGAGAAGAGAGAAACTGTGATGAAGAAATGTGATGGGTTGCTGGAACAGAAAAGTTAAGGGGAGAATAGTTGAAAACCCTCATTGCCACTGAGGGAATTATTTGTGATGAGCAGTGATTTTGCTGTGCAGTCAAGATCAAGATGTAAAGACAGATGGTGGTTAGATCTTATAGGAGTAGAGAATGCACATGTGAAACTTGTGAAGGGACACTATGAGGTGGTAGAGAAAGAACTGTTATGAAGAATGGAAATATATCAAAACATCAAGAAAAACAGAAGAAATGAGGAAAGAGAAAATTCTCTCAGGGGAACTCAGTGAGTGATAAAAGCAAAAGATCCAGAAATGGGATCTCATACAGGGAGCTCAGAGCACAGGGTAAAGTGGATTGTAGGTAACAGTTATAATCTGAGGTTTACCAAGAGACTTTATAAAATGTTCATCGCTCTTTTTGTCAGGGAACAAACCATAACATTTCAGACTAGAAAGATTCTACTTTCATGCATTATGGGTGGGAGTACCCCGTACAGCCTTCTGAGGTTTTAGCAGCTAGTCATTGCTATAGACAAATATGGGACACGTGGTCTTCTACTTTGGGGCAGCCTGGCAATTTTTGTGCTGTTATTCATCTCACCAAAATACACATTGTCTAATAATATTTAAGTTGTATAAACATACCTTTCAAGTGAAGGAGTCGTTGAGACAATCCAGGCAAAGAATTAGTACAAAGGCAAATCTAGTACTTCATTACAATGGCAGCTCCTATTCCAGGCAGGGTCCCTGCTCTCTGAGGGAAAGGAAGATAGAGACATGGATTCTTTCAGTCCCATCAAATAAGAGAGCAGTAATTGTTGCTTCACTGTGAACAGCACTTTAGGGCCTCCAGTCAGTTCCACTGCTTGAGGTGTTAGCTTAGGGCACATTGTCTGTGAAAAGTCACCTTTTCTTTCCCCTGTGATTAGTTCTGAATGCATCTCAGAAGGAAGTGAATAAAAAGCAAAATCCATTTTGCGGTTCTGCTTTACATTTCACCTTCTCAACAGAACTGACCTCAGCTGTTTTATTGTTCTGGCTCTACTTTCAAAGTCAGCCTTGTGATGTCATAGAGTTTCATAATCAACCTTTTCTGAATCAATTACAAAAATTAATTTCATTTTACCAAAGCAGATAGAGGGAAGAGAAGAAGGGGGGCTCATAACAGATGAGTCAGAAGTTGGTCAATGAAGAATGCACAGGAAAATAGATAGATAAAAAGATAAAATAAAGATAAGATAATAAAAGATTATTAATATCTTATTATATTAAGATAATATCTTATATTAAGATAAGATATTATTAATATCTTATCTTAATAAAAGATAAGATAGATAAAAACGGACTGTTCTTCTATTCCTGATTCTCTCTAATCATCCTATATTGGCTCCCCCTGATTAGCACATTTCACTACCTGTGTGAAAGACATCAGGCTGTAACATTGTTCCAGATCTGAATTTGGAGTGCTGGTAGTGTCCTGCTGACCCTCTTCCCACTTGTCACACCTTCTGCAACCATGTGCAACTCAAAAGTTTGTCCACAGGATCTCTGGGAGGTGTGGGCTCTCAGAAAGCAGGTGGGGAAGCTGGAGAGACTTTGCAGCCAGAAAGCCAAGAATCCTAAAAGTATATCCCATTCTTCATATAATGGTGAAGCTTGCATTGACACAAATGGGAGTCAAGTCACTCATGTGCCCAGGAAGGAGATATCCTCAATCCATGCACAAGCACAGCTGTTTATCACGGAGCTGTTGTGCACCCACTGCCTTAGCTCTATAGACTAAATGGCTTCAATATACAAGAAATTAATAGAATATCAAAACACACACCTTCCTTTATTTGGTGCTAATATAATTGTGCCAGTGGGTTTTTTTGACAAGTCATTTTTTCTTTAGGCAGCGTTAAGTGCCTTGAAACAGTTTTCAGAACAAGGACTGGATCCAGTGGAAGGAGCTATGAAAGTTGAGAACGGATCACATGAAAAGTAAGTACCATTTAAATCCTCTGCATTTTAATGCCTGTGTGGCATGGTAGATAAGAAATGCTAATTAAGAGCTTAGTTGCCCTTTTAAACCTATGCAAAACTATTTCCTCTGGAATTTACATACAGTTTGTGACAATTTGAGAGGATAAACACGATTTCAGGTTTAGTGTTACTGATAATGTTTACTAATGAGCTATGAGACAGTCAGTCCTGTGGAAATGCTAAAGAAAAGGATTTTCTTTCCATTGTATGGATTCTGTGTAAGTAGCATAACATGATTTTTGTCAAATGTGTTGTAGCACATGATATTGCCCGTAAATAAGCATAGCTATCTGCCAATAGGTCATTATGACTGCGAGCTGAATTTTACCTCAGAGAATTTAAAAGTTGAAATTCCTTTCAGGTCCTAAAAAACTCTGATATGGAATATTAGCTTTAAGTAGTAGACAATAGAGCAGGGTTTCACACTGGATTTTCAACTAATTAAGAAAGTGGGATTGTCCATCCAGTAAAGATTTTTTTTTCCCAGCTGCTAGTCTGCTTATGTAAGAAAGTAGTGTTGTGTTACTAAATAAATTAGGAAGTAATAGAATAAAAGAAGTAAGACTGAAAGTGGTGTTCGGAATTTTCAGTAGATATATTGTGGCTATTTATAAACTAATTTAATCAGAAACATTTTTCCATATGATCTCATCAGCATAGTATTTGAACATAAATATTGTTGTTTCACTTTAAAATGTTACCTTCCACGGTGACCTTTGAATCTCATGTGCCATCTGGTAATAAACATGTCTTAAAGATGTGCAACCCTGGACCTTACCACTCTTGTTAATGTATTAATCTTTCAGACAAGTCAAGCATCTGGGAGAGAAAGCAGACAATAAACAGACTAACTCAGGCACCATTGCTCAGGACTGCAAGGATTCAAAGGCTGTCGTCTAGGAGCTTCCCAGCACCCACGGCTGCCACTGCATCCTTATAAACCTGTCAACACGCAATAGGGTGTATGTGTACAAGGAAATGAATGACTAATACCATTATTTGAGTCTTATGTGAAGACAACACTATTCTAACACAAGAGATAGAATACATGGTACTGTTTATTCAACTCTGGAAAAAAATAAAATTGAACATTTCCCTTAGAACTCAAGATCAGAGCATAACTCAATTGCCCAGAGGCAGAAGAAGTCTGATCGTGTTACTGGAGGTTAAAATAACAATGAATTAACAAAAAGTGTTAGTAAAAAAAAAAACAAAAAAAAAAACAACACGGGAAACTTTACAATTGATTAATATTGAGGAAAACAAGTCAGCATTGGTTCAGTTATACAATTTTTTGTAGTGTAGTTTTAAGTTCAGCTTACTGTTTTTTAAATAATGCTTGAATATTTTAAAATTAACCAATGACAGTGCTGTGAGAATTGTAGTTGTTGTCTTCATATATAGTCATACAGCTTATCTTTTTATGCAGACATTATGCATTCTTCATTCTATATGAATATGTATGACTTTAAGATGCACTACTCAGAGTTGTATGCAAACAGAAGTTTAAGTCTTGACAAGTATTTGCTTAACATGAACAGATGTTAGTTATGATCATTTTCTATATACTCCAGGAAAAAAACAAATATGGTATTTGATTTTCCTTGCCATAATCAATTAAAGAGGCGTCTTGCCTCCAAGCAACATTTTCCCCTTCAATTCTGCTCTCTGTTGTGTGAAGCACATCTACACCCCATTCTGTGTGTTGTATCAACCCACTGTTTGCATCAACTGAGTGTTTTTAATCTCTGCATTCGGACCAAGAGCAAAAGGGAGGACTGCAATGTTATCAAGCCAAGGGTGGAAACTGTTGATGTAAAGATCATTCTTTTGTGAAAGGAGTGGCAGCAGAGATAAGACCTGTGGCTGCTCTGTACCAGCATATTTCTTTTAAGTATGTGGCCAAATGCAGTAAAACCACATCAGTTCATGTGTACAATGACAGTGTCTTCTCTTTCTTTATCACTCACAGTTAGACAACTAAGAGAAAAAAAGAAAAAGAAAACAATTAAAAACTAACAAATGACTGGCTACCACACTAGAGCCAGGTTTCAACCAAGCTGTCCCCATGCCATCACTTTCTACAGACTCACTGTATTAGACCAGACATGCTGGTATTTAGGTCACTTATCTATCCAAAATACAGATGATTTTATTTAATGCAACAGATAAATCTTAACTGCATAACAGCCTTGACAACATTGCACAAGATTGTAGAAGCACGAAAACCAGAGATCACAACTCAGTGACTCACGCAGAAAAGTAGAGGAACAGCAGTGTGAGGAAGTGGTGCAAGGTACAGTGGCATTGATTCACCTCTGGGACGGGCTTTCAGGGGAACACGCATCCTGCTCTCACAGAACCAGCGCTTGGAGTCCTTTTTTAATACCTCATGTTTCTCATGGGTATGATTCACTCTCAGCGCCGGCAGATAAGGAGCCTTTGTTCTAAAAGCTTGAAGTTTTCTAGGGTCTGACTCCATAAAAGAGTCAGGAACAAGATGAACCTTTCAGTTCCCACAGATTTCCAGGGGCATTTGGCACCTGGCAGACTCAAGTTATTCAGGCAGCAACATACAAAAATAATTAGCTCTTACATACCACCTTTGTCAGGGATATGTTACCTGCCTAATTGGCAGCTGGAGCAGAAATTCTGCTCCTCCAGCTCATCAGACAGCTCAGAGAGCTCAGAAACAGCCTCAGTCTGCATTTTAGCTGTACCTGCCAGTATGCAGGATACGGATGTCATTACTGTCTCCCCTCTTGGAGAGCAAGAACAAAAGAAGAGGCAAACCCATTCCTCTGTCCTAAGGCAAGATTCTGTGCTTACTGGGGAGAATGTGACAAGGAGACTGGCAGTATGGTCTCCCCTAGCATTGACAGAACCTCTGTGGTGTGTTCCCTGTCCCATTAAATTTTAGATTAGTTGCTTTATTGCAGGTGGGCTCTGCATTGAGCACCAGGCTTGCTCCAGTGCATGTGGAGTGCAGCAAAGTGATGCTCACCTCACTGTCAATGATCAAATTGCAACCAAATGTGTGCAACCAACTGTCTAGGCCCAAGAGAGCTCATTCAGCCTCTCCAACAGTAGGGAAAGAGTATTTCTGTGAACCTCTTATTTCAGATTCTCTTGCTTGTCAGAACTATGCTCGATTCCGATTCTGACATAAAACAAGGAAAGGAACTGATCTGGGGGGATCACTCCTTTTTCTCAAAACTGTAGAAACATGGAGCAGACTGGGTGAGGGGGGTGTTAGAGTAGCAGAAGTTCTAACTATTGTCCAAAAGCAGGGTTGACTAATGATTGCTGTAATTAGTAAGTTAGAAAGTCTGTAGCCTTTGGTCAAGTGCACACAGATGGCAGTTTCAAAGCACCTCCAAAGTCACAGGTTAAAAGCTTCATCACAGAGGCCCCAACAAAGGCTGACAGAGCTTTTCCTGGAATATCTGAAGAAAGTGTTCCTCCTCCCTTCAGGTACCAACAGCATCACAAAGACCTCTGTATGGAGCTCATGAAGATACTGCACCTGAACACCACAGTGTCACTTTGGTGTCACTAAGGCATTCCAAAGTTCCCGTGCCAGTGAAGAGATTTCAGTCTGTTCCACCTGCAGCATTTATTTTCTCAAAGAATATCCTTCAGTATTCACACACATACACAGAAATGCACTTTAGTTTGGCATTATCACTGGCAACTTCCCAAGAGCTTGAGCAAAATTCTTGCGTCAGTGATGTTGCAGCAGCCACTGGACTTGTCTTCAGTCTTCAGTCTTGTTGGTTCACAGCTGTTCCTCTTAGTTCCTGAGCTGCCAATATCTGAAAGCTGCTGGGGAGGAATTCAGTCTGATAATCTAAAATCTATTATATTTTTCTCGAGTAACTTCTTATTTTTTTCTTTTTTTTTGTTCTTTCTAAAATAAGTACATGTTGAACTGAACAGATTTTATATTTAGTTTTGTAAACAATGATGGACACTGAAAGACTATCAATATGTTTGAATGTTACTATTAATTCTAAAAAGGTCGTTTCTCTGACAGAAGTCAGTATTTTTTATTTATTTTTATTTTTTAGATGATACATTCTTTAAGGTATAGATTTTGTCCAAATTATGTTTGCAAAGCACCAGGTACAGTTTAGTTCCTCATTGCACACACACACCACACATCTCATCCTATGTCTCAGAGTACTTTCAAAGATGAGCAAATGCCATGTTTTACAGAGGCGGATCTAAGGTGCAAGCTGGTCCTTAGGAATAAGGCAGGAATAAGGAATAAAGCCTAAAATAGCCATTTGCCTGTCTAGCAGACTACAGTGTTCTCAACACTTTAAGGACTCAGAACACAAATTGTCATCAGTTTTGAACCTATAGAACTTATTAATCAGGAGGAATAATGCTAAAGACAAAATAGGTCACTTAGGTATCCTCTCAAAAATCTTTTCAACACCTTCCAAGGGTCAGCTAACTAAGAACCTGCCCAGGGAAAGGCTCATCACCGAGAGAATGGGGTGTCTGACATGGCTCAAAGGACAGGAATACACATGGTTAATCTTATATCTGAGTTATCATCTTCGGTGGAGCACTGCCCTGTCAACAGCTCAGCACACTCTGGCAGTCTCTGTTCTCACATTGTCACATGTAGCACTGGTCTCCAAAGGGACAGATGTGCTGCTTCTGACAAATACAAAACACAGCAGCATCGGGGCCGCAGAGCTGCGGAACAGCGTGCAGATTTCTGCTCCCAGACATCCCAGTGTTCCCCCTCCATTCACAGTGGAGCTGAATTTACCCTTCAGCTAGAGTCCTCATTGAATTCAAGAGATAATTAAGCTGGCATTTAATTTCCTCTGATGGAAGTCATAGTCATAGGATTTAAAATATTTAGTACTTATCAGCAGCATTTTTAAAGGGTCTTTGAATAAGACTAGAGAGGAACCTTAGGAGCAGGGGAGTAGCTGGGATGAATGACTGCAGGAATATGGAATCTCCTCCTCCTTGGCCTGAAGTGACAATGAAATCTAATCCTTCCTAAAGTGTATGCAAAGCCCTTGATCTCTCTGACAGTGCTTTACTACATGCATTTTATTGGTGGGTGGCTTCTTGTTATTGCTCTCATCTTTCTGGCCTGCTCCAATTCCCCATGAAACAGCAGAAGGTTTCCCATTTCCTGCAGTGAGAGTTGAGCAAAAATTGTAAGTTGGATTTGTTTTCCAGTTAAAAGGCAGAGGGCTGGGTTTTTGTTTGCTTGTTTCAAAACACTAAGCAAAAAAAATGTGCTTGGTAAAATCTTTATATCCTCTCCCAGTCAAATCCAGCATGCCCCACTCTCAGCTGCATCCTATAAACAGGTGTTTGTTATTTTCTTTGCTCAAATAAGAATGGCCCTTGCAACTCCTGAGAAAACTGAGCAGAGGGTGAGAGGTGATTTTTAATGATAATAAAGACAGGGACTGTATCAGAGCCCTGAATGCAACATGGAATGATGATTTTGTGCACTTTGGGGGGATGTGATTCTGTGACCAGTGCGAATGGATGATGGCTATCTTCTGCCAGCCTTCTGGCTTAAACATGGCAAGTTATCTGCTCTGGGCAACAGTGTTCAGCTTGTATATTTGGCATAGCTCCCCTAGGACACCTCCAGAAGAGCTGCAGGGAGAGAAGCATGTCCTGAGTAACAGCTTACTCTGCCTTTCCCTCCCCTTGGCCCATGATCCCTAAGCCGAAGGCGTGAGGTACTGTCGAGATGAGACACAGGGAAATGCTGCTTCCCCTCTGGGTATTTACCTCTCCTGCAGTCCCTTGCTGTTTGTAACTGCATTCCTGAGGCGTGATAGGAGCTGAGCAAGTGTGTACATCGGTAGATGAGACGTGTATGAAGTGTTTTGGTGGTATGATTTCTATTATTCCACATGAGCAGCACTGACTTTTGTTTTTGATCGTACAGCTTGTTATTTGCTTTATGCAGTTAGTCATGGTTGGCTGTGCACTTTTGTGCTTGGTACTTTAACTCCATAGCACTTCAGTACAAAGGAAATTTATAAAACAACAATGAAAATGTTTCTAATCTGTTCTTAATTAAGTAGACCTCAATAATAGATTTATGAGAAGAAGGAAAGCTAAACAAAGTGGTTGCTAACATAGAAATAAAACTTATTTAAGGCCCAGATTTTCCTTTATTTGTGATAGCCAGGATCTAGGAGAGCTTGAATACCTATGAAGTTCTACCTAAAAATACACAATAAATGAGAAAAAATTTACCCTGGATAAAACAGTTTATGCTTCTCGCTACAATATATTAAATATATATCTGTTCATTACAACAGATCATTTAAAACTGCTTATGTACTTTTGTTTGTGATTATATGTGCAGCATAGGTTTCCTTTTTCTAATTCTTTTGGTAACTGTTAAAAATATTTAAGGACAATAATAGTAAAGTCAATGTTATCTAATTCCCTATTTTAAAATGGCCTGTTTCCACCACCCACCCCACCCCAAATTAACTGTATTTGAACTGGCTGGAAATAGGTTAGAATTTTTTAAATTAATTAGGTTTAAAGATAGGAGGTCTTCACATGTGGTTCAAAACAAAGAAGACATGTTTAAATAGGATAAGGGAAAAAAATTCAAAAAGTGACATCTGTCTGTGGTAACACAGTTACTTCAACTGAACTTTCTTGCTTTCTATTTTTATAAAATGACAATTTATTGCAAACCAAACTTGACCTCCTCCCATATGGAGACAAAATATAAAGTAAAAAAGGTGCAGAACTTTTTTCTTGTTGAGGAAGAAGTTCCCATCCAGTGGAGCACAGTAACTATACTTTAACCAGCTCTTACACACAGCCTTACCAGCTGTCATATTGCTGGGGTTATTGGTGAATGGAAGTTTGACCCCACTGATAATCTGTAAAATTGGCAACTGTTTACAAGATGCACTG